ACACACAGAGAATAAAAACTAGACGCACACTCAGATCAGATGAGAAAATTAGAGATGGATCGTGAAGCTAAACGCCAAAAAAAAAAAAATCTACAAAGCTTCTAGAAGAAAAAACAGGAGACCATCTTGGTGACTTGCTTAGGCAAAGACTTTTAGAAAGGACACTGAAAGCATGAACTGAAAAAGAAAACCAAGCCATAAATTAAACTTTATCAATATCAAAAACGTCTCATCAAAATACACCATTATGGTGGATACAAGTCTATGCATTTTTCAAAACCCATAAAAGCATATGTCACAGAGAATAAAGTTTAATGTATACAAAAAAAAATTAAAGAGAATGTCAGGGATTCAAGGCGGAACACAGACTGTGACCACTGATTTTAACGGTCAGAAGTCTGTGACATCAACATGCTGAAGGGGTGGGAAACAAGGAGCTGACCTCAGCACGTCTGGAACATGATGTTGGCCTGGGAGGCTAAAGATGAAAGGACCACACACGAACACTGTCCTCTCGTCAGGAAACTCGCTTCTTGTGGGGATGGAATGCGGGTGAACAATCCCGAAACTGCTTTATGTGCACACGGAGGCCGGGCTGGGCTGGACAGATACGAAAATGGGTGGTGGGGAACAGGGGTGCCTTGGTGGCGCAGCTGGTTAAGCAGCTGACTCTTGATGTCGGCTCAGGTCGTGCCCTCACGGTCCTGGGATGGAGCCCCGTGTGGGGTATGGAGCCTACGCGGGATTCTCTGTCTCCCCCCGCCTCCTACCCACCCCGCCTCAGGTAGAAAGAAAGACAGAAGCAAAGAAAGGCAGGAAGGAGGGAGGAAACGGAAGGCGGATGGTGGGAGCCAGGGCCGGACAGGAGGGCTGCAAACAAGCGTGTTCCGGGCCACAGGCCACAGACACACACAGAACAGCCCCGCCCGCCGGGACGCCGCCGGCAGGGACCCCAGATCCTGGCTTCTACGCGCCGTCCTCCAGTAAAAGAAACAGGGCTCCTTGGAGAACCGGCTGACTCGGGCTGAGGCAGGCGGGCACGACGAGCCCCGAGCATCCGGCAGCGCCAGCGGGGAGGGAAGTACCCCGGCACCAACCGAGAAGGCGCCCCCACGGCCCAGGCCGGAACGACGTGCGCGGGGAAACCAGCGCAGGAGCGTCCCCACACACGACAAACACCCAGGAGCCCCCGCTGACGGAAGGAGGGGGCCAGAGAAAGCCTCCTTCCTGAAGTCCTCCCTGCCGCCACCCCACCGCGGGGGTCTCGGCTCATTCCCACCCGGTGCAGGGCGACTGCCTCACTGGGCGGCCGCCAGAGAAGACAGGAGGGAGACCAGACACCCGGCAGGCACCCCCCAGACCGGTGGCCAGGCCAACGTACCCCAGGCTGTCCGCCAGACGCCAGCCACCCCCCGACAGCCTGGGACGACAGGGCCACCTCACCACCAGGGTGTTCTCTCCCAAACCCACGACCCCCTCTACCCACTGCGAAACACAGCAGACAAACCCAGAATGAGGGACGTTCGACCCAACACCTGTGCAGTCCTCCTCAAACCTGTCACCGTCATGAGAACACCAGAGAGTCCAAGACACCAGCCCATCCCAGAAAGGACAAAGGAGCTGGGACACTCAACGTGCTGCGGGACCTGGACAGGGTCACCAAGGAACCGAGTGAAATCTTAAGTCCGCAGTGTAGACAACAGGGTCATAGCACTGCGGTTTCTCAGCTTCCACAAAGGCTCTGCGCTGTCCTAAGTGCGGATATTAGAGAAAACTGGCCATCCTGCCACTTTTCTGCCAATCTAGAACTACTCCAAAATTTCTTAAGTGTATTTTTAAAATAAGCCACTAATAAAATGAATAAGCAAGTCAAAGAACGGGAGATCGTATTTGCAATATGGTCCGACAAGCTGTTACCCAGAAGATAAAAAAGCGCTTTTACAACTTGAAAGTTTTTTAAAAAGGACAAAAGACTTGATCGGACATTTCGGAAAAGAGGTACGAATGGTGACAAGCGGGTGGAAAAGTGCTCAGCATCACTGAGCTCTAGGAAACGCAGATTAAGGCCCCCAGGACACTCTGTTCAGCAGGCCCTTTGGGCAGGGTCGCACGCAGGGATTTTCCCAAGAGAAAGAAAAACACACCATAGAAAATGTGCACAAGGACCCCTTAGTCATACAAGCCAAAGCCCAGAAACCCCACCAATTGCCTCATAGGACTGATCAGGGCACCCGGGTGCGTCCCAGGTGTGCCAACCCAGCAACACCCCGGGGCTGAGGCCCAGGTGCCCAGGGGCGAGATTCCAGAGACCCGGCAGCTGGCACGGGCCCTTCCCGGGTGCGGGCGGGGTCGGCTTGCGGTGTCCCCCGGCCTCCCCTGGGCCTGCGAGCAGATTTCTCTCTCTTCTCATAAAGGCACTAATCCCACCACGTGGCGCACCCGCACGACTTCGTCTAACCACCACCACCTCCCGAAGGTTCCTCCAAACACCATAGCACTGGGAGGCTCCAAACGTGGATCCGGGGGACATGACCATTCAGCCCACAACACGAGGGACCTGTCACGGATGACAGAATCGTCTTCTATCTCGGCAGGTGTGCAGGTCACACAGCTGGATGCGGCTGTCAAAACTGGGCAAACTGGGCCTATGTGTCTCTCTGTGTGGGCGTCACCCAGTAACTAACTGAAGAGATGCCATTCATTTCAAAAATCGTATTGGAGCCCGAAAGTTAGAGAATTGGGTAAAAACGTGTCTACGTGGTAATGAAAGAATTGGTGAGAATTTAAATTGTACAAAAACTGTCCCGCAGCTCACTTTTCCTTACAAGAATCAGTCTGAGTGAAGACACAGAGCCTCCAGGTCGCTGTGATTCTGAACAAGTAACGCATCGGGGTTAAGTGGGTGGGGTTGCGTGTGGTCAGCAAACAAGGGAAGGTGCTGACAGGACCACCTCGTAAACCCGCCCTCCAGCCAGGAGCCTCGCCTGAGTGACCACACAAATATTCACCGCAGCTCCGACCCCCGCCTTCGGCAGTCGTGGCTGGACGGCAGAGTAGGGGAGGCGGGGGAGGGGGGTCTTCAGCTCTGGGTCTCCTGCACTGATGGGGGCACAAGGCCGGCCCACCGGACCTCCCCCCATCAGAGAACTTACTGTTGGTTATTCTCTCGGCAAGCAGAGGAAGCAAGCGTGGAGTCTGACGCTCAGGAAAAAGTAAGAACTTGCTGCTCTAAACATCCCATCTCGGGGTGCCTGGGGGGCTCAGTGGGTTAAAGCTCTGCCTCGGCTCAGGTCATGGTCTCAGGGTCCTGGGATCCAGTCCTGCCTCGGGCTCTCTGCTCAGCAGGGGGCCTGCTTCCCTCTCTCTCTCTGCCTGCCTGTCTGCCTACTTGTGATCTCTGTCAAATAAATAAATAAAATATTTTTAATAAAAAAAATAAACATCCCATCTCACGCTGTGATAGAAAGTAAACGCTCAGTGGGTTAAGCCTCTGCCTTCAGCTCAGGTCATGGTCTCAGGGTCCTGGGATCGAGCCCTGCCTCAGGCTCTCTGCTCGGCGGGGAGCCTACTTCTCCCACTCCCTCTGCCGTCTGTCAAGTAAATAAATAAAATCTTAAAATTAAAAAAAAAAGTAAGTAAACGCTGCCAACGACCTCACGGGACGTAAGGGAACATTCCAGTCAGCTGACATGTATGGCAGATGCCAGGAATGGCATGTGGGCACCCAGTGCCCAGCATTACCTGGGCTCCACACACCTGAGAGGGGTCTGCACCCCCTGGAGCTGGCCCGGGGCGGGGCGGGGGGGGGGGCGTCCTGCACGCTGGAAAACCACTCCCGCATCCTTGGCCTTGGGGACGCGGAATTCCCAGGGCTTCGGTGCTACAGTCCCTCTTCCGATGAGCTAGATGACAAATCGCGGCTCACCTTGGATACGAGAGTAAGTGAAGGGTTGGGAGATGCCTCTGGGGTCCTGGGGTGCTGCCTGTGGACCAGTCCACTCAGGGGATCACCCACCAAGACATCCGTTTGCTCTCTGCTTTGGGGAGGAACCTGCTAGGGCGGGGATCGGAGGGTGCATGCGCTAGGAAAACCAACTTTCTGGATAATTCAGATTTTACTTCCTTCTAGGAATTTCTAAAAACAATGTGGCCATTAAGATTCTGGCTGAACACAGACTACTGTCCAGCGGCGCTTCCCCGGGAGTGGGAATGGGAGCAATCCGGGTGGGCCATCCCCAGCCCAGGCCGCCTCCACCAGGCCTCCCCGGGGCTAAAACCCACGAGAAAGACAAGACCCAAGTCCGCCCCCTCCGCAGAGCGCAGCCACACCAAGAAAACCACAAAGACGGGGCCAAGGGTGACAGCTCCGAGTTTCACAGACGAAGCGGTTAAGAAGGCTCAGAAAACAGTTTTTGCGGGGAGAAGCTGCGTTTGCCAAAACGCTCTTCCGTGAAAGCCTGAAAAGCCGCATCCCGACGTATCCGAACGACCTGGTCTTAACACACTTGAACGAACTCCTCAGTGTCGCGGCGCCACGCACTCCTCGAACGCCCACCGTCCGACGCAACCCGGACTGCTTCGGGCCACACACCGGCCAAGAGCCCGGCTACCGGGGAGAGCGCCAGCCTGGCGACGGCTTCCCGGGCACCCGGGGCCTCCCTCTGCCGCCTGGGCTCGCTCCCGAGGGCGCGGCCTCCTGGGGCTCCCCGACTTCGGGGACGTGGGTGGGGGGGGCCCTAAGTCCGGCCACCGACGAGCTCCCTTAGCGGACTGCACCTGCGGGATATTCGGTAGCCCGAGGGGGACCGGGTCCCCGCGGCCCTTTGTCCCGGCTCTGCGCCCCGCGCCGCCTGCGAGACCGCCCGGCCGGGGCGTCCGCGCCCCAAGGCCGCCCCCCCTGCGCCCCTGCCCCTGCTCCCGCCCCCGGCCCGCCCCCCGCCCGCCCCCGGTCCGCCCCCGGGCCCCGCCGTCCGCGCTCCCGCCCCCGGCCCCTCACTCACCCCCGCGCCCTTAGCGTTCCTCTTTCGTACCCCCCGCCCTCCGGGCGGTCGCGCCGCGCTCCCTGGGATTTGTAGTCTTTCTGCCGCCTCCACCCCAGTACCAGGCAGCGCGACTCCCAGCTTCAAACTACAGCTCCCGGCAGTCCCCGCGAGAACTCCCTCTCCCCGGATGGGTTCTGGCCCAGAGCTCTCGCGAGGCCATGGGAGGCGCGCGGAGCAACCTAGGAAGTGTAGGCTAGGGCGCCCGGGTCCTAATGGCCCGGCCCCAGACAGAGCCGGGAAGGAGAAGAACTACACTCCCCAGGAGTCCATGCGCGCCCGCCATCTTTGGCGTTGCTAGGAGACGCGAGGATGCGAACCAGCGCGTGGCTGCGCCGCAGCCGCGGTACTCCCTCTGCGCCGCGCCAGCTGGGATCCGTGCGGGGCGGCGGCGGCAGTGAGCGCAGGTGTGACTTCCCGCCCGCGACTAGCTTACGTGACCGGACAAGGCCCGGCCAAGGCAAAGCAAAAGCTCCTCCGGGAGGCGAGAACGTGTCCCCCGAGGAGCGGGGGGCGGAATCTGCACTTCCCGCCTCAGGCCGGGGGCGTCCCCCTCGCGGCCTTTCGGAGCCCTGTGTCCTGGCTGGTGGCAAGAGGCCGGCGCTTGGTCCCAGCGAGGAGCCGCGGAGGGACCCAGCCTCCGAAAGGTTCCTGTTGGTGCCGTTCTCGGTGCGGAGCCCGGGGAGGGAACCTCTGTTGCTCCCCTTGCGGACCCGCTGGGCCGCTGCGGAGACCCTGGGCAGCTTTCCCGACGGGGCGCGGTCAGCACGAAGTAGGGTATCGCGGTGCCTGGCCCACAGCAGGGCTGGCCTTTCGGCACCCCCTGCGCATGTAGGATGGGGGACGCGGGGAAGGGGAAGGGGGTGTGCCGAGGAGCCCCCCGGAGGAAGGACAGTAAGGCTGAGTGAGCTCTCCGCTTTGCATGTCCTCAGGGCTCTGCCCTCCCGGCGATGGGTTTGGCGGCCGCAGAGCTCACAGACGGGCGAGGACGCGGGCTGAGCCTAAAGGGGGTGTCATCCTGAATAAAGAGGGGCTGCCTTCTGTGCCATTGGGCTGGCGCTGGTGCTCCTCGAGGGCCTGCAGGTGAACAGAGGGCTCCGTGACCTTGGCCTGAACCAGGAAGGGCACCCGGAGCCCTGCGCAGTCGCGAGAAGGGCCTGGGCTCTCACACAGGCTTTTCAGGTCTCTCCCGCACCTGGCACTTCTGGATCAACAGGGAGAGATGGGAAAAAGACAAGTGTGACCTGGGGTTTCTCTGAGCTGGTGGGGCCGGTCCAACGGGTTACTCTTCCCACTAAACGACCCCTGCAGCCCTGAGGCCTCGTGGATGGGGAGGGGCCTGGGAATGCTCCCCACAGTTAGTTCCGAAGTCCATGGGGTCCGTGTGGATGACTGTCCTGTAACCCTTCTAGGCCGACGGTGTCCCGGCAGGACGACTGAGGCTGGTGGGATTCCCACAAGCGTGGTCTGAGCTGCCCCTGACGCAGAGAACTGTCGTGAGCAGCCGTCAGTTTCTCATTTATTAGACTCTCTTGGGTGTTAGTAAAAGGGTTTGGAGCTTGTCAGCCTCCTTGGGGGCGTCTGAGTGAGAGGTGAGTGTGAGTCAGGGTTAGGTTAGGTTAGCAAGTGTGCTGGGGCATGGGGGCCCTTGAACTCTGGGATGTCCCTGTGGCCTCCCTCCCAGCTGGCCTTTGTGCCTGAGTCCTGGGGGTTCTCGTCCCTCTGGCAGGCACCTGAGGACATCCCTCCCAAGTCTGAGCGTCCGGAGTCTCCAGTGGAAATAGACTGCCAGCCTTGCAGCATAAGGGTGTTTCCAAGAAGAGTGTCGGGAACAGAAGGGAGAGTAACCGTCTTGTTTGTTTCTTGGAGGACAGTACTCACTGGGCTTCTTTAACGGAGGTGGCAGTGCTGCCCAGGGTGTCCCTCGGGGGCCTCTGTGGCAGCAGTAGGCGTGACACGGGCCTAGCTGTCAGCTGGGCAGGCCAGTGTTCAGGGAGACTGGGGGGCACAGGCTTGCTGCGAGAGCCCGCGGGGCTGACAGAGCTGGCCAGGGAGGCTGCTCTGGGAAAGTGACTGCAGGCTGTTCCTGCTAAGCCTGGGCTGGGCTTCCACCTTCCAGGCTTGGTGGGCAAGACCAGGCCCAGAGAGAGCCTAAACCCTTTTAGGCTCACACCTCCAGGAAGCTGCTGCAAGTGTCAGGGAGGGATCCCATGCAGGAGCCATACCCAGGATCCACCCAAGGCTTAGGGCTTGGAGGGCAGGATCTGGAGGGCGGGGGCTGTGCTATAAACCAGGCTGACTCCCAGCCAGCCAGCTGGGTCCTGACCTGCAGGAGCCCCCGTCACCCAGTCACCCCCACCCCCATGCTGCTGGTCCCCACAGGTGCTCCCTTGGCTCACGTGTTCCCAAGAGTGGCAGGACAGAGCTCAGGGCTGAGTGCTTCTCTGCCACCACCCCCTCAGTTCATCTCCTAAATTCAGAGCCCGCCTCCCAGCCGAGCTTCCTCCCCGGCCTTCCTGGGCACCCCTGGAAGCCTCACCCCCGGAGGGGTCAGCTTACGTCTGCCCTCACCCCTTGCCCTCTGGCTGTGGTCCTAGGTGACTGTCTCTCGTCCCCCGCGTGTCCTGTCGTGGCCTGGCCCTTGCTGTACAAGTGTCACCTGCCTCCTCCCTCGTTCAGGGAGGTCTTCTCCCCATGTCAGGGCTGCGGTGCCCCAGGCTGGTGTCCCCTTTGCCAAGCAACTGCCTGGCAGTGCACGCCTGCCCCCCCAGCCCCTTCCAGTGCCACTTCCTCCTGTGCACTCGTGTAAGGCGGGCGGGGGAGCCCGGCAAGACCTGCGAGGCTATTGTCAGCGAGGGCGCCCAGCAGACACTGAGGCAAATGTTCCGATGGTCAGTGGCCTCCTGTGGCCCAGAAAAGGCTGAGAGAGATGTTCCTGGAACAGTACAAGTGACCCCGTGAGCTAGAGGGTGCTGAGAAGATGAAAGAATGCAGGATTTTATGAGGTTAACTATATAATGTAAGGACATCTCTTAAGGAGCCCAAAGTCTCTAGACTAAAATAAAAAATAGGTCCTGGGATCGAGCCCCGCATTGGGCTGTCTGCTCAGCAGGGAGCCTGCTTCCTCCTCTCTCTCTGTGATCACTGTCAAATAAATAAATAAATAAAATCTTTTTTTTTTTTTTTAAATAAAAAGTACATTTACTTGACTATCTTAAGGGCCACAAAAATACAAAATCCCATTCAGCACTCCTGTGGGGGACACTCCCTGCAGGGCACAGGGAGCAACGCAATGTGGGACGTGGGCTGGTGCCCGCAGAAACCCGCCATGGTCAGGGAGGGGATCCCGCCAGCATCCCGCAGGGATCTCAGGGACAGGAGCACCACCTTGGCCTGCTGGGCTGGCTACGTCCCTGCATGGACATCTTTCCACCCTGCAGAGATTTCGGATTCAGTATGGGGAAGGCTGGGAGAGTCAGCAAGCCCGCACGACTGTTTGTTGCACTGACATGGAATCAGGGCCCGTTTACGTTTGTGATGCAGAGGGGAACTCAGCCAGTGAGAGGGTCAGCTTGGCCACTGAATCACTGTTCCCAAGAGGAAACTTCTTACACTTGGTGTTACAAAGTGAAACCCGACTAGATTTATGTAGTATTGGAAACGTTAAGAGACACTTTGGAATAACGTATATTAAGTTGAATACAGCTTGGGTGGGTCTCATGGGAAAAAAAATCCCATCTCGAAAATCCAGTTCAACATGCTGTGATTCCACTTACCTAATAATCTTCAAATGACAGAATTATGGAGGTGGAGAACCGCCAAGTGGTACGCAGAGATGAGGGATGGTGGGGGGGCGAGAAGGGGCAGCAAGACGGGTCTCTGGGGTGGAGCAGCCCGTATCCTGATTGCAGGATGGTCACAGGAACCACACGTGGGATAAAACGGCGGAATAATCAAGTGCCCGTGTCCCTCCCCAGTGGTGATGGTTGGCCTCCCTGTGGAAATCTGAAACCGGCCCCAAATGTGGAGGGCAGGAGAGGCAGAAGAAAGGGGCAGGACGCTCCAGGTTGGTGGGTGGCAGGTTTAATAAACAGGGGAACTTACAGGAGGCTGGCCTTGGGCAGTACCGAGGCGAAGGGACACCCCCCAACCCTGCACCGAACCTTGCAAGTCCCCATAGAGTCCTCAGCGGGCTAGTCACGCCCACACTGCGGGTGTCGTCTCTAAGCGATGTCCTGGAGCCACCTCCAGGGACTGGGCGGGGTGGGTGGGGGAGGCTTGGCGGCGGGGCCTCCACAGCACGCAGCAGCAGGGCTTCAGGAAGATGGGACTGTTGTGGGAACCTGAGTGGCCGGCACGCGGGACTCTGTACCTACCCTCCGGGTCTTTGCTTTCTGTCCTGTCCCCTGACACCAAGGGACATCGCGCAGGCTCAGCTTTTTCCTGTAACGGGGCTGTTCAGACAAAGGGGTCCTGGAGCTTCTGAAAGAGGGAGATCCTCGGTGAGCTGCTGACAGAGCCCCAGCCTTGCCACACTCTCTCGGGCCAGGGTTGTCTCAAGCCCAGTAGCCAGCTTCCCACCCAAGGCCCTTCTGATGCCGCTTCAGGAAGGCAGCTTCCTGGGCCAGCCTGCGGAAGGAGGGGTGCCTGAGCTCACTGCTCCTGCTCCTGGCAGGCGGGAGCAGGCCTGCCCCCCATCTGCCTCCCCCCGCCCCACACTCCTTGGCTTCCCTGAGAGTGTCCTGTGCCGTTCCTGGGAAGGGGGAAGGTGCTCTAGCTCCCACACAGCTGCTCAGGGATGTGTGCGGATGGGGCAGGCTCGGGACGCTCAGCCTGCCTGGTGTCCCCGCGCCCGCCTGCCGGACTGCCTGCACGGCACAGGGAGCAGGTGAAGGTCGTTAGCTCTTCCCAAACAGCATAATGCTGGGGGAGGCTCAATTACCAACTAATTAATTGCCTGCAATTAGAAGGCGGCCTTAAT